TTGTTCGAATACACGATGAAGCAATCTCCAAAGCTGCTATCGTTCTTCACCACTTTATCTGGAGGTAACCCTAAAAAATCATAAAAATGCATGCAAATATAGATTTGCTGACAAACTGCCACGAGAGATGATTTTTTGGCATCTTTACATATAATCTAAAATTAGTTTAAAAAAAGGGTTCTCAACCATAACGATTAGACGTTGCCCTAAAATTACGAAAATTTCATTAGATTGGAACATATGAATTACTGAACACTAAGGATTAAAAAAAAAAATAAATAAATAATAAATAAGATGTACTTCTGAAACCAAAAAAAGAGGATGGATGTGTTTTAATGCAATCAATAACTAAAGATTTGTTTTCATAATATTTTTTTTAAACAAATACAGTCATTTTTTGTTCTTGCATGAGTATTTCTTAGGTGTGTGTGTGTATGTTTGGTGTATTTAATTATGGCAAAGCACACTAGGACTATTTGCCTAAGCGGAGAGATGCCTTTGTGAAGGACTTTCTAAGGAAAACTGGCTCGTATACATGTTTCACATGGGAAAAACCACGAAAACGCCCATGCAGCCAGCCCGTTTGCGGGATTCGAACCTCGGACCGAGCTACCAGTGTTCAGTGACTTTACCGCTCGGCCGCTGGAGGGGCGAGTATTTCTTAGGAATTTCACTATTGGCAAAATATAATACAACTGCAATATTCATTCAGTGGCAAAGTGTGCTGTCATAAAAAAAGAAAAGTAGTCCACGTAGCTTTTTCATCTGCTGGTTCTATACAAAAATCTAACTTTGTTTTTTCAAAACGTTTTACTTGTCCTTGTATTTTCGTGCATTCACATTTTAACTCTTTTGGTTATAATTACCAACAAACTGAAAACTACTCTGGAAAATTCTTTTTTTGTTCAACTCTGAAAAATACCCATGGCACATGTATTGAAAAAAACCAATGAGACACAAGTGTCCTATAAGTACATGGTATCTGCAAACTACAAGTATTTTACTTGTTACATTTATAATTGCATGTTATTTCAACAGATCAATTTATCATAATAATAAATAAAAAAATTTACCTTTAAAAACAGTAGAAATAATCTTTTCAATAATATAAGCTATGGGATAAAATGAAAATGGACATGAATTTAATTAATTATATGAAAACTGCTCTTGAGAAATTACTACTCAGAATAAATGACAAAAAATTGCTGATTTGTTACACTGAAATAAGAGAAGCAGTGGCTGACACACTTATATCCAACTGGGCTTAAAAATGAGTCTTTCCACCATGCGAATTTGAAAAACTGTGATCATAAACAGTACACATAAGTGACTTTTTACATACAAAAGATAACAAAGTCTTAACAACTTTACAGAGAACATGAAATTCACAGCAGAAAAATTTATTTTGTGCATCAAATGACTCGCTGTTGTACTTGATGCTCACTAGAAAATTAAAATGTGACATTTTCAGACAATTATTAAGTAATAATAATTAGACATAGCAGTAACGTGCCACTGCAATTGATATATATATATTAAATGCTTGAAATTGCTAAGAGTGCAAATAACACAATATTCAGCCAAATTAAAAAAAAAAAAAAAAAAACCTTATAAATTTTATAAATTTGTTGTAAGCCAGGTAGGAAAGAATACAGATAAAATCTCAGTCTAAATCTGGAAAGCCTATTAAAGCCCCGTTCACAAGAGCAGATTCGACTGGTAGCGAAAACCGGTTCTTCCAACGTGCCCCGTTCACATGGGACAAGCATTAACTGCCTCGCCGAATTGGAGGTAGAACTTGGTTGAATTTTCCTTACCTCTCGGGAGCAGGGCAAATGGGGAGATTTCCCGATATACTGTCGGTTCACTTAATTTTAGTTACTGCTCGCTGGACCTGTCAGCGAAACAATCGCGCTGATAGATGTCTGGGTGATAGGATCCCCCTCAAAATTTAGATAGAACTGTAAAAGATACGCAAATTATAGACAAATACAGACAAGGTTATCTGATGCTAGGTATTCCAGAAACATCGTTCAAATTAAAACTAAAGTTAAGACAAGTGCCTATCGGCTTCAACGCGACAAGGGACTCAGTATCTTTTAAATGATTTTTTTTTTAAATTTAAGCATTTTCATATACTTTTTATGAATATTATTAAATGGTTTTGTGAAATAAAACAATTTTAAGCTGAAAAAAAGTTTTTGCTAGTATTTTTTTTAATTTAAATTTTTCAAGAAAATTTTACATTAAAATGTCTTTCTTTCCTACAATTTTCAATGTCTCCCCCAGTTTTTTTATTGTATTATTAGAGTGTTCTTAATAACTTCAAGGAATGATTTTGCAATTATGAATTAATTTTTCTGAGAAAAAAAATACGCTCTTATCTAAAATCTTTAAAACAAATAGATCTGTCACATTTCATTTCAAATAATTTTTTCCTTTCAGTATTTTTCAAAACCCATCCTTGTTTCTATAAAGTATATAATTTTAAATAAGCAGTAAAAATAATAAAAAAATTAGTCCATACCTGTATATGTTTTAGGACTTTAAGTAAAAGGATTTATTGAAAAAAATGCAAATGGTTTCTCAGTTTGCATTTGCAGTTTAAAGAATACAAACTATCTAAATAAACATTTAAGGATTTCAAATCTTTAAAATTTTGACACACACATATATATATATATAAAAATCAAACCTAGTGCTATTTATTTAATTGGTAAATATAAACATAAATTACAAACCTTTTTTTAAAACCTTATGTGGCCAGAAAAATTGCAAAAACTCATAAACGCAAGCAGAATTTTTCTTTACCCGTTTTTGTTTTGTAAAACACGTTCAAAACAATTTAATACATTAATTAATTATAATATTGTTGCGTGCGTACGGGTTTGTAATAGATTGATAATAGTTCGTAAATGATTGTCATTGCACTCAAATCCGATGATAGCTTAATTAAATTTATTTTATCAACAGAAACACTTCAAAGTTCTGGAATTTTCCACATAAATACTCGTACAAGTGTTTAGAATATCACTAAGTATAATCAGTAGTTATGCTTCAATCTAATAAGAACGTTAAACACAACGGAATGCAAAACGCATCTTAAGAGAAAGTTAACTCAGAAATATCTCCGATCTAACGCTGAATTAACAATTGGCAACAATAACAACTTATCTAGCATAAATAATGTCATAAAAATAGTTTGGTATAATGAGATTATTACTTTGAAACCGATGTTTCGAATTGATGCCCAAGAAGAACCAATATTTTCCATTCTCCCTCATTGCCCATCTTTCAAAAAAGTAAAAAAATCATCCAATGAATTTCCTGTATCATTTTTTTAAATGCAAAACGTTTGTTTTATAAGCTGTAAAAATGTCGGAAGTTTGTAACAAATGTATTTTTAGATATGAAATTTTAAAATTAATGGGCGTCAAGAAGTCTGAAAATACGAACGATTTTCAAAAATTCTCCCAAAATATTTTTAAAAAAAAATTACGCTAAAATTTTCATTTATTTTTTTCTCCTCTACAGTGTGTTATTGGTGCAAACTATAATATTCTGAGATTCTCTGTTTTTTGTTAATATTTGCAAAAAGTCGTTTCAACTTTGTGTTCGAAAAAAATCTAGTCCTCTAAACAATCAGAAGTGTGACACCACATCCACAAGCTAGTGGACGTACAAAGTTTGAGCTCTATATCTTATCGGGAAAGCAGTTTAAAAATTCATGGAACCATCTTTTAACAATAGCGACAAGCACCAATACTGAACTAAATAACAGCTTATAAAAAAATAATTAAAATGCATATATTTTTCAGGAACCATGACAAAAGTTCAGGTACCAGTAGCGAAAGTCCAGATTACAAAATTAACAACAGTAAACAACGTTAAAAATGTGTAAACAGTATTAGAAATCTGCCAATTCGGAGACGTGATTGTTCACAGAGGCTTAGGTATAAAGGGGAAAGAAGACGGTGGTCTTCTGAATGGGTCCTAAAGACGAAACTCTTTCATGTCTCCTTTTTCTCACCTTGCTAACGGCAGCTGTGCGAAGAAGCGTTGCATGCGAACGGGGCTTAAGTCTGGTAGCAACTCAACATACTGGGAGAGAGTGTGTGTTTTCCATCTTTATCTTTAGTAAACACATTCTGTATTAAAATAAAAGTTATTAAACTTTTCTCTGTACATGCAACTGTGCATCGGAAAGTTATTTTCAAAAATTATGATTTTAGCATTTATGCATATGTTAGGCCAACAATAAATAACATATGCACAGGAGTTTTCACCACAGCAATTAAAGATCTGTGATACTTTCCTTCTATTTTCCAACAGTACAAGTTTGGGAATCATTTTTCTTTTTCAACTGCATGAGAAAAAAAATGTTTTGGTAACACCTGATACTTTCCATCAAAATGATTTCCAGTTTTTTCATATCAGAAGAAACATTTTCTGATATATTTCACAGCGGCGGATGATACTGTCACTTTGAACATGACTTCATTTTTTAACAGGCATACAAATCCTGCAGGTGAAAAGTAATGGTTTCTAATAATAACATATTTAGCATTTAAATAGGAACTGATCTTTCATTATATAAAGCAGAACATAATAATCTTACATGAGTCTAACAACAGGGCGTGAAATGCCTCGATTTCCTGCAGATAATTATTCCGTTTGTGAAAACATAAACCAAAGGTCAAATATCACGAAATCCTGACAAGCATGACAAACACTGGAGATGTTGCCAATGGACCCTTGGAGCAATCATTCAGGCAAAAGTTAAAAGGAAAAGATAATTTTTTATTTAGTTAGATGACAAAAAATACAAGTTGAGGTTTATAAAAAATTTAAATCGCCTTTTGTAATTTTTCACGTCACATCTCCATTAAACGTCTATGCCAGATTGTTTGTTTTCATATAAAGCTACACATCGCGGCCATTGACACATATTTTCCTTCATGCTAGGATCCTTTAAATTCAAATATGTTCCATAGAAGGCAGGCACCCAAATTTTATTTTATTACTATTTTTAAATGTAAAGAAAAACAGATAAACAGTACATAAGTTACATTCTTCTTTACAAATTCTAAACTGACCAGAATTAATTGTGTTAAGATAAAATCAAGGTGAATCTTATGATTATGATGCAATGTCAAGTTTATATATTACTGGTATGAAATAATACTGTTTGGCATCAGCGTCTTGCACGTGTTTTATAATTGCCTACAAGTCTCTCGTATGCTTACTTTTTTTAGAGGAAAATATTTCTAAAATTCAAAAAATATTCCAGTTATTTGTATGCCGGATAGTCAGGCTTTTACTGTAATTGTTTAGATGTTGATCTGCTTAGCCAGATAAGGCACAGATTTTAAAGGACTATTTGCCTGAGGAAAAGGATGTCACCATAGAGGACATTCTAAAGATGTGTTTATGTTACATATGAAGAAAATAATGAAAACTGCGATGTAGTTAGCCCTTTCAGTAGAATTTGAATATGGGTTAACTACTAGCGTCCAGCAATCTTATCTACTCAGCATTGCTTACACAAATTATTTGAAGATTTCTTTTGATAAACAAATGAAGATGTTTAATTTGAAATATTGCATATAATTCTACACAAACATTTTCCATCTCATTACATGGCAAACTTTTGTTTTATTAATTCTAAATATTTGCCACACAATTAAAAAAAAATCCAGAATTGTTTTTCTCAAAGGGTACATTCTGAAGTGAATGCTTGATTACCTTTTTACACACCTACCATTTTATGCCTTTTCAAAGAAACAGCATAAATTATACATGTTATATAATAGATATATAATATTTTATTTATACAAAAGAATGATTTATTTATTTAGACTATGTACAAAAGCCTTGATCAATTTTCCCTTTTTTTGGTTTTGTTTTTTACAATACAATGCAAAAGTTCAAGGTACGTCAAACAGCTAAAAGAGCAAATCTAGAAGAGCAGCTCATTCTTTATCATGTCATGCATAACATTTTATTAAATACTTTAACTCAGCAAAATTCTAAATTATACAGCTTGAATTATGGTGATGATGCAGATTATGATCATAATAATTTATGAAAAAAAAAACTGCAAATTAATAATTATTTCTGTGCAGCACACAGTACTTATAAGAATAAATATCATGAACGATTCCATTTGTGAATGCAGTATACACATTTCGATTTTCAACAATAAAAACAATTCAATTAAAGAAACGGACACACTAGTTTGAAAAATGTGTATACAATAAAATTAATAGTCACATAAAGGCAAGGGTTCTACCTCATTTGCATTTTTTATAAATATTTTATGAAATGAATCATTTGGCAAGAATTGAATTAAAATATGCATGATAATATCTTTATAGTACAACTGAAAGTACAATAAGATTTAAGCCCTTAATCACAAGCCGAAAAACTATAAAAACTGATGTATATCTATGCATTTGCCATATTTTGGAATTTATCTTTTTCATATTGCAAAATGAGAAACTAGCACAGAAAACATGCAATACTAAACACAATAACACTTCAACTATTTTAGGTATATACCTGAAAATTGTAAAAACTTATTCATGCAGATTAAGAAATATATAGTTTTAATTTTATATGCTGTGAATATGAGCATGTGAATGATGACTATAAAAGCAAACTGTCTGTGATGGTACAATAGTAATGGGATTTTTGAAATAATATACATGCATTTTAAGAGAATAATTAACTTTAAATTACTGTAAAAGGAAAATTAGACAAAATTTTGAATGAAAGAAAGTATTCTAGTAGTATAAGTACCCTTAAATTTTTTTACTGGTATGTTAAATGTATTTTTACAGTTTTTAAAGACTAAGGACAATTCAACTTATTGAGTGTAATCATTTTATACTTCAAATGTAAAGAGAGGCAACTGCTGTAAGGCTCATAATTTAATCTTGCCATTCACGCTGTGACAGGGAAACATAAGATGAGGAACAAAAACTGTCTATGGCAGATGCACTACCTTATTTACAAGATCCTAACTACTGACAATTAATCAAATTCCTCGGTGAAATCATAAACTGATGGCAGGTGAGGATTATAACTGTCATTTCTTCTGGACATGTCATCTGTCTCCATTGCAGAAGCACCATTATCACTGCTTTGAGAAATTACAGAACCAGGTAAAGTAATTACATCAGGTAAATTTGTAGAACTGGAAAAGATGTTCTCTTGGCTCGAGCTGTCATTAAGCAGTTTTCGACATATAGGACAGGTACCATGCTATAAAATAAGAATATTAAACTATGATAAATATAAACAAAGAAAAGCATTACACATTGTTTCCACCTATACAATATGCATTACAATATATACATCTATACAATATACATTAAATATGTCACAGACATTTACAGCAGCCTCAGAAAATACACAAGAGGAAAAATGTATATGAGAACTATTTACCAACTGCTAAAAAAATTAAGGGTAATTTATATACATTATGAATTTTGAGCAGAGTTGGATCAAAATACATAATGCATACACAAAAGAATGACATCTTTCTTCATCTTTATTTGCCACTGAATTTGCACGGATCAAGTAGATTTTATATTAATTCTGCTCCTAATAAACAAAACAAATCAAATACAGAAAAACAGAGGCAAAACTTCACAATTTGTAGCAGACATTACAGCTCTTAAAAAAATACATACTGAATCCATCTCATTAATAAGCCTATTTCATTAAGCTTTTAAGCCAGCTATGGTACAAGTATCATACCAACGTTTCTGCCCCCTTTCAAAGTAATCGCCAACTCTGGGTGGTCGTTTTGCTGTTCAGAGCAGATACTGGTTATGCTTTGTTTCCTGCTTCTTATATGTTTCGCTAAGTTTTGACAAAGACCGTAGGTTTGGTCTCATGCTAATATATTTGAAAACAGATGCTATCTCTCTTTCAAACATTACAACTTTTGATTTCAATGTAACGTTTTTCCTTGCACTCTAATTCAGTTCTTATAATGGCACCTCGTTTCAAAGGTCTCAGTCAGGAAGAAATTAATAAGTTGCCAAGAGATTTAGAGGATACTTTTGCTGATACAGAAGAAATATGTTTTAATCAATCTTTTATTGAAGATAAAGTTGCCGATGAGTTCAAAAAGCAATGCTAATAGTTTATTTTGATGGAGACAGCCAAATGAGCAGAATGACAAAGCTAACCATACTGACCTTTAATGGTAATCCTGGTATAGACTGAATTTTCGGAAACTCATTTTGCTGTTGATTTTTTTAAATTATACTTTTCAGATGAATGTTTAAAATTTTAACCAGAGAAACTAATTGATATGCTTCTCAAATCTTAGAGATGAGGCCAGATATAAGCGGAAAAAGAAAGCATGAAAGCAATTGGATGCCAGTTACATATGATGAGCTTCAGATAATTTTTTGGTCCCTGGATGATTTATTTGGCACACCAATTTGTTTCATAAGGTAATGCAACGAGACAGATTTTTAATGATTTAAAAATTTTTGCATTTTGAAAACAATAAGGAAAACCTGATCATTTAACTGATAGGGATATGATAATTTATTCCTAAACCTGAGAAGGCGGTATAAGTTGGATGACTGTCAGTTGAAAGATTTGTATATAGTGTAATTACTCAATTATATATATTGTAAAAAGCTAATTGTCTTCAGACATACACTGTTACTAAAAAAATGGGCCTATTTCCTGCCTTTAGACTGTCTATTAGCTATTGGACAGCGAAAATGCCTTTTTCCTTTCTTAAATTCTAATCATTGCGACACGACAATTAGCCAGAAATTAATTAATTTCCATTCACTAGTATTTTCAAAAAAAATCTTAACAGACGGTCTCTCTCAGATAAGAACTCCACAAATACATCCCTCAAGAATTCCAAGTCCCACCCACTACCATAAATTACTTCATCCAAGTCTTACCGACTGATATTATTCAAAGCCCCTACTGCCGCTAAGAATTTTGGACACCCTACACTTCTGAGTCAAGACACGAAGAGACACTTTGCCAACTCCCCCACTAGAAAGAATGTTAAGTTAACTTAATACCTTTCTGGCCTTTATATCTTCATGTACATTCACTGATCTTATTATATTATTTTCTATTTTATTTTTTATATTATATTTTATATTTTCTTTGATTGTTTTTTACAAAGTTTGCATTATTTATCTTTTTATAATCTTCTATTTTATTTCAACTTTACTTTGAATTCGATTTCATAATGACAATTTCCAAGTTTAATTTCTACAAATAATATAGTACTCAAATGCATAAAGATGAAAGTGTCGGGGACGGTTTACTCGAGTTTTTACAGATTTCTCTACAGTAATTGATTTTACTCCAAATTAAATTGACTAAAATGCTTCATGAGAATAAGTTCTTGAGTATCAGCATTGGTTCATAATTCCTACTATTCGCGGAAATATTTGGCCTGACTAGAATTGCCGGTTTGGCTTTAACTTATAACTCGAGTAAAGACGAAACACTTTCGTATTTACGTATTTTTTATCAATTATTGTTCATTAAAAGGGAGTTGGTTTTTTGTTCCCCTTGAAAAGTCAACTAATTTCCGATCAATGACAATGATTACATGTTTTAATTTTTCCTTTTACAATTGAAATATTATTCTTCGTGATGATTTAACTCCAGTCCCTGTTAAAACTTTATTACATTTTGCTTTCCAAATTACTTCAAAACATCTTTCAAAAATATACTTACCAGTAGGATGCACACTTTTAAAAAATCTACTTTAATTAAACTTAGGAGATAATATAATCAATTAATCAATACTGTTTAGGAAATAAATTATTATTAACTAACTTTGCAGCAATTGCACAAGTAATAATAACTTGTATTCGCACTAAATGGATTTTAAGATCATACAACATTATATATATCTATATATATATATATAGACAGCTGATTCATTATTCTGATCTTCAAGTTCACATGCTTTCTCCATCAAGTCGGGGGACATGCAAGTATCTATGCTCCCATTTCACTTTTGATACAAAGAAAAGATGAAGATGTGATATTTGTTCTGCAAAAGGTTTACAGCAGAAGTCAGCTTATGTAAAGCATATGATGTAGCACTCTGCATAAGCTGTTTTGAAGCTTATCACGTCATTTCAGAAAAACAGTTAGCTTGAAAAAATAGCAATAGTTAATTAATGAAAGCAATCTTCCTCTAATAACAAAAACAAAACAAAAAAATTACTAATCTCATATCAGAATAACATAGAATTTAATACAGCATGTCTCTATTAAAGGCCTTTTTATGAGGGCCAAAAATTGAAAAAAAGAAACGATACTCAGATGATCATGAGGAACATAACACTGAATATATAACACATTTTTTCATGTGTAAACAACTTGGTTTAGATAACTGTGAATGAGCTATCTGTGTGGTCCTTTCCGTAGTTTCGCCACTTAAAAACACGAAGGTAAGCCAGTACTTTTGTCGGAGTCTTTCACGAAACATCATTCTTCAGCAAATAGTACTATTATACGTAATTAAATAATCGAACTGACGTTTAAGCTTCTTCCCTTAGGCCAGTAAATATGGTATTTAGTTACATGGCTACATCTAGTTGTTGTGTAGGTAAGACTATTGACGATTTCATTTGGTAACAGATAGTTCAATCTAGGTTTAATACAAGCGAATGAACAGGCTCCATAGGCATTTCCCCCCATGTGTAGCGCGATTATAAACCGCTCTCGCTCCAGATGTCCTAAGGCTAAGGTTACATTAATTAATTCAGAAAAGCAACTTGAGGGCTATCTCTCTATGGGAAGAGATATCATCATGGAAGACTTTCTAAGAGAAACTGTCTCGCATTCAAATTATACATTAACAAAGCCACGAAATTTCTCATGTTTGCCTGGATTTTTAACACAGGTTGAACTACCAGTGTTGAGTGATTTTACTGCTCTTTCACCTGGTGGATCTCTTCACAAAGGCATCACTATTTTGAGGAAACTTATAAGGTATTTTCTCCCTCCTTTTTGCATACCTTCGTGGTGTAATGGTTAGCACATTCGGCGCATACTTTGAGAGGTCCAGGTTCAAGTCCTGTCGAAGGCATTTCTCGTTTTTTTCAGGTCTTCTGCTTCAAAAAATAACCTAATGACTCTACAGTGGCACACGAACTAAAAGGTGGTAGATGATGATTCTTCACCACCAGGATTTGGCGACTGGGTCCCCTTATTTCCAGTCGCTCTTTAAAAGGGGGAGTAATAAGGTATTTTCTCCCTCCTTCCAGCATGCTTTTACGTTGTAATGGTTAGCACACTCGGCGCGTATTTCGAGAAGTTCAGGTTAGATTTCTGGCGAGGGTATTGCTCATTTTTCAGTCTCCAGCATTAAAATAACTTGATGACTCTACACGTAACCATTATCTGCTTAAGGGGAGATGTTTTAATGGAAATCTTTTAAAGAGGAAATTGCTCACATTTATGTTCTCCTGATGGAAAAATCCACATGTAACTAGCCTGTTCTCTGGGATTTGATTGGCTTGATTTGGCTTGTTCACTGGATTATAGCAAAGCACTCGACAGCTATTAGCATAAGGAAAGGGATGCCTTCGTCGAGGGCTTGCACCGACGTTACGACAAAAAACCACGAAAACGTCTATGAAGCCAATTTGTTCACCGTGATTCGAACGCGAGAAAACTACGAGTGTTCAGCCACATTAGTGCCCCCCACTGATGGACCCATAATAGATTAAGAAAAATTAATGAAATAACCAATTTAATTTGCTAACCTACATTTATTACTTGGCAGCACATAAATTAGACATTTTAGGTGATTATGTATGAATAAACTATATTTTAATTTTCTCTAATGTTTCATATTATGGTTTGACATGGAATTTTTAATGCTTCATATTATGATTTTATATGGAATTACACCACTTTGGAGTTATTTCTTATGAATTTATTTTGCTTCCTTCATGATTCTGATTCTTTATTCAGTCAAAGAGAAGATTTTGAACATTAACAAAAAGACACATAAGATGATGAAAAAATTGTCATAAACAATTTTCTTAATTTTGCTTTGAAAATATTCCTGAGTAATCATTTTGATCACTGTTAAAAAGAAAAAAAAGTTCAGAAAGAATATAAAATTTATATGTTCGCAAACTGTAACATTAAAAAAACTGAACTACTTATTAGAGATAAAAACACACACAGTACATTACATTCTAGTCATAAAACATTAATGATAGTTAAAACATTTAAAGTACAAATCACATTTTAAAATATTTATAAAAATCTTACCAATTCAAGCCATGGAATAATACAATCATTATGAAAGTGGTGATCACAAGATAGTCGACGAACAGGTTCTTGGTATTTGAAGTCCTCCATACATACTGTACACTGAAGGTTTTTATCTAAAGTGGCATAATTTGAAAAGATAAACTTGAAGATACATTAACACACACCAACAAATAAAGAATGGTTAAATTGTGTTTATCAGTTTCATTATCATTAACTATATTTGTACATACAAAAATAAAATGAAAATGTTAAATAATATATTTTTGTTTGATCATACATTATGAATTTTTACCACCTCAGTCAATCACTAAAAAAGTACTTTTCGTTTAATAAATTATATTACATCAGATATTTGTTCATTTTTTGCTTTATAAAAAGCATGTAATGTAACAATACACCTAATTTATTAAATGGGTTTCATTTTCAAAACAGATTTCAATATAAAAAGGAACAAATTTTGTTCTTAAAAAATCTAGAAGCTAGATTAAAAAAAAAAAAAAAAAAAAAAAAAAAGAGAGAGAAAATCATCAAAATGAAGTTTAACCATCCAACAAATTTTAGACATCAAATTACCAAAATAATAAACAGAATTTCCATTAAGTAGGAGAAACATGCATAACTTACGATTACTAATAAAATGAAGAAATGTACGGAACACAAACATCCACAAAAAAACAATGGTCAAAAGTAACTTACCTGTGAATCTCTATACTGCATATGCAGATGAGAAATACTACACATTTAAAAAAAGGGCAGGAAGCATTTAAAACATTCTACAAAAAAGCGATTTGAAATGTTAAAAACTTCCCAATGCAAATTTCATTGAAAATTCTAACCTAGTGGGATATAGTCTTAATGAATGTTTTTCAAAGTTACACAACAAGAAAATTCTCATATAAGCACATGCTATAAAACTGATCAAGATTTTGCATTTGTTATGCTTTGGTCGTACCAGTTCAAATAAAAAAGTAATAATATGTAAAATACTTTTTTTCTTCCAGAGAAGGAAAGAGAATTATGTAAAAAGCATTCATAGTTTTAGAGATGAAAATTTAAGAAAATTGAAATAAAACTGTATTGGCTATTCATAAAAGTTGATGAAAAAATAAAATATGCAATACTTAATAAATAAAGAGCTCAATACAAGCAATCTCTTACAATGCAATAAAATGAAATGAACAGTTCCCTTCCAATTCATTAAAAATAGACTACTGCAAATAATTCTAAAAGACTTGAATTATTTTTTTCAAATAAAATGAGCTTCTCAAGAGAAAGATAAAATCAAAATCAAATATCTAACAGACAGCCCACATTCTCTTTGAAAGAAGCAATATTTTTTAATGGCATATTTTCTTAACATTTTTCAATTCCAATTTACTATTTTTTGCTTATAAAATTGTTAGCAATGTAATTTTGGCTGAACACATCTGCTGCCAATCACGTGGTGGCATACAAGTTATCACTGAAGCAAACCAAGTATACTGTCACATTGTAATATATTAGGTGTCAGTAGCAGTGGCACAGGAAAAGCAATGCCTCATTGTTAGTTCTCCAGTTCAGTCGGCAATATGTTTCGAGTATGTATGCTGACATTGGCATGCAGTGAAGCTTAGAAACTAGTTGTAAATGTACGTGGTTTCAAATTAAAGCAGTTTCTTTTGTGAAAAGATTATACACAAATAAGATTCTGAAAAATCGTTTAATAATATCATCGTTAACTATCTTGTAATATGCATATTTGTTTGTGATCCAGTTTTATACAAAAATAATGCATATTATTGCTTATTTTGATTCTTTTTTAAACACCACACACACCATATAATGTAGCATTCAGAAAATAATTTAATTTCCAGTGCTAATACTGGGGTGGGCATAGTCATACAATTCTCCAATTAAAGGCTAAGCAATCATTGTGATACACATAACCCTCTTTTAAATCATATTTCTTACAATAAGTAAGTTGGCATATCAGCACCATCTGCTTCTATGTCAGGGCAATAACCATTGACACAACCTCACATGACTGGCAGCAAAAGATTTAATTATTAGAATAGCATATTTTAGAAAAATAGCAGTAACTTGGAGCAGCATATTTCATAATGATGCTTTAGTACAAAGTGTCTTCAAATACTGGAAAAGTTTAGTTCCTAAAATGAAGCAGATTGCAACAGAACACTTCAAGAATCTTGGCAGTTAACAGCAGCTTATAATGAAATCTCATAAAAAAATTATGTGCATTTATCAAATAATTTTGAGAATGGAAGTGTGAGGAATTGAATCTGAAATTTTTCATAATTTACTGTTATTTTTTAATTATCATTGCATATGTAAAAACAGTTGCACAAGTTTAGAGTTATAGAATTTAATTTTGTCAAACTGAGTGGATTTGAAGATTTATTTATTTATATGCACGAAAGAATTCTCAACTACGTTGAAAGACGGTTAAAAAAAATCATATCAGTTAAACGAATGAAAAACAATGTTTTATCATTAGCATACTTGCCAACCTATAACACTAAAAAATCAGGAGACTTTTTTAAGAAATCAGGAGATTTTTCACAATGTTAAAAAGACTTTTTAAATGATAAAAATATAGTTTTTAATGACGAATTAACTTTAAATAGCTACTAATTCTTAAATGCAAGCAACACAAAAATACCTTACACATAAAAAACATTTTTATTACTTGCATCGTTTAAGGGGGAGGGAAAAAAAAAGACACTTTAATCAGTTTTCGTACAAATGTTATGAACCGTAGCAGATTTTGCTTTTGTTAAGAAAGAAATTTCATAATTTTATTCATAGTAATTGCCACATAGGGCTGCTTTCGCTAATAAAAGTTTTTCTAATGCGTCATCACTAATATTAGTTATGCAGCTGTTGGAACTGTTTTTATTTTTCCTTCCTTTTAGAACTCCTTTCAAGATAATAATAAATATCAACAATGTGTTTATCCATATTTATTGGTAAAGAAGCTGCCCTTTTTCAGCTGCTAAATTTAAGAGGTGACAGATGCACCTCATAATCTGAAAATCTGAATTTTCCTTTCTTAAGATGCCTGCAACAACAGTCTTCAAGCCTATTATTACTGATGCATTATCGGCACCAAGTGCTAAGCAAATTATCCAGAGGGACTGCATTTTCCTTTAAAGTTTTAATAATTAGCTGTGCTATATTAAAGCTTGTCGAATGTCCTTCTAAAATGGGGACAGAAAGTAAACTTCACTCAATTTATGAAGAATCTGGATTAAAAAAAGAAACAATTGGATACAGTTTTGAATCGGTATTATTGCTTCCATTCGTAAAGAGGCAGGACGGAGTTGTTTTAATGCAATCAATAACTAAAGATTTATTTTTCATACCCATTTCTTTAACAATTGCGCCTGTTTTGGTCCTTGCACTTGAGTATTTCTTAGCGATTTCACTATCGGGAAACATTTTTCTAAATAAAGCTGCAGCGTGATCCGTAGCATTCAGTGTCAGGTTGTGCTCCAGTAAAAAAACAGAGAACAGACATTCTGCAATAATAACTTTTCGGTCCTTTGTTTCTGAAGAAAAATTTAATTTTTCGTTTTTTCAAAACAACTCATGTTATCTTTGTGTACACACATGTTTGAGAACATCCGCCCTTCCACCATGCGAAATCGAAAAATCACAACAACAGATGTTACACATCGCAAATTTATTACATTTTCTTGAGGAAATAATGAAAGGAAAGTCAACTGTGTACAATTTTTGAAACGTACACAAGTATTTCATCTTTCTCACAGACAAAACAAAAGATGATAATTTCTAAAACTATTTCCCGGATGCATGTGTACTCACACAACTCAGGGCAAGATGAACGAAATAACTAAAGAACATTCAACTAACAGCTTTGAGCTCATTGGCCGTTATATGCCAGATGACACGCAGTGGAGCTCGATGCCCATTGGAGAACTGGAGAATGACGTTTCTGGAAATGTACGCTCTCACTTACGAAGCAGAAATTCTCATCTGATTCGCAAAGTTTTGTTTTAGGTATAATCTAGATAAAATTCAATTGCTTTCAGACATCCAAAATCACTTTTTTTGTTTTGTTTATATAACAAAGTATTAAGCCAAGTTCCATAAAAATCGTGAGAAATTTTAAGAATAAGAAAAAGGTCGGGAGAAATATATTGTAAATCGGGTTGGCGGGAGAGTGGTTGAAAATCGGGAGAGTTGGCAACTCTGCATTAGTATATTACTTTACTACAGCACTGTGGGTGCATTTTAAATGTCTAAGGAAATTTTACCCCAAGAATAAAAGCAGTAAGCATTAAAACTGCTCCTCAAAAGTATGCTTTTTACAGAAATGTTCCATTATACATATTGTTACATGTGTACGGGTTTGTAATGGATTGAATGTACACAGAACTGACAACAGCTCGATACAATTTATTTTCCCACATAAAAGTACAGCTCTTCTCAGTATGACAGAGTACAATCAACAATTATCACTTCAAACTACTAACAGCATTAAACATAAGACAACATAAAAAGCCTCAATGCATAAGCCTATAGTGAACCCTCAGAGCTAAACTGAGAACTGATGCTCTCTCCGTTCTTATATATAGTTTTTCCCTGTCTGCTGAGAAATTTCCGATATCTTCGATTTTCTTGGAATTGCTGGATGGCATACAAAGCTACAGTTACATAGGGATCGGATAAAAATATTGCCAAGTTGTGCAACTTCTGGCAATTTCTCACCCAAATCATTACCAGTTTGCTTCTATCGCCATTTACCTCAATGTTAAATGGACTTACCCCAGACATTAATTTTCCAGTAATGATTCCGACCTTTCATGTTATATTATTCAAGAGATACTAGAAATATATATAATTTCAGTGAAATATGTGTAATTTCGGTAAAAATTATTTATATGCAAAGCATGTTTTTAAGATAAGTAACATTTGGAAAAAAAAAAAAAAAAGAAAAGAAAAGAAAAGAAAAAAGTAGCATCCACTTACCAATTTTATTTTTATATGAAAGCCTGTACATAATAAATTTTTCTACATATTTTCTGCCAACATTAGGCATTTAGCAACACGGTCGTTTTGACCTCATCATCACCGATGTGGTGAAGAATGCCCAGATATTTTTCAAATGAAGGAACAGTAGTAGTCACTGGCAGCTAGATCAGGACTGTATGGAGAAAGATCAAATTGTTCCCAGCGAAACACTGCCATGAGATCTTGAGTTCATTTAGCTGCACGTGGACCAACATTGTCATGAACAAGGTTTGGTAAAGCTCGGTTAAGCTCGAGCTTGATTGTTTTTCGGGCTTTCGAGCATTTGAAGTCGACATATTTACATTATCAAAAGGCTTATAACAGACTTTTAATTAAAATAAAAATTTTTAGAAATTTAAAAGAAACTTTTTCTTTACTTGCACATTTATTTATGCATTTATATTAATGAAAAAAATTTTAAAAAACACCAGTGCATGTAGTGATTTATCTGATAGCTTCGACCTAATTTTGGTGCAAAAATTGTTGGCCACGGAAAATGCCCTCTCAGAATCAATCGAAGTTGGTTTTATACTGTAAATAGCTTCAAGTAATCGCTTTAAATTTACAGTCAATTCACCATTACTTTTTGACAAAATAAATTCTCAACTTAATTTTTAAAAGTGGTTACCTTCCGTGGTAATTTGCTGGTTGGAGCTTCTAATAGTACTCTAAATTGTTCTTCAAGAGAAGCAACAACTTCTATGTCAGGGCAATAACCACTGACACAACTCACATGACTGGCAGCGAAAGACTTAATTACTAGAATAGCATATTTTAGAAAAATAGCAGTAACATGGAGCAGCATATTTCAAATACTGAATAATGATGCTATTGTACAAAGTGTCAGTTGTTTCTGCTTCACTGCTTGATTTTTCATTTGATGAATTTGGTGATGAATCTGGTGACGGAAATAAACACTTCATTAAAACAGCTGCTAGTTCTAGAAGCTTTTAATGGATTTTATTAAGTTGTTTAGTGCATTCATCAAATCTATGATGTTTTAGATTGATGTAAAATCGATATTTTCAGAAAGAGAACTACTTATTTCAGATTTTTCAGCATATTACTCTGTAATAAATGTCTGTTTTGCGAAACATGGCATTTTCAATGTTCAACAATTTGTAATTTTGTTTATTACTGATACTAAGAAAATCATTATTTAATATTACATACACATTACTACTTAAAATTAAAAGTATATTGTTTCTATTGGTACAAATTAAAAATCCTTGCATTTCTATGTACTGTAGCCGGCAACAAATTTATCTCTTTACCAAAACAAGTTTCAGTAAGGTAAAAGTACTGGTAAAAGTAAAAGCATTATTTTACTGTATGTATTTATAATCCTTTTATTGTTTAACTTTACTTATCCTTAATACAATTACAAAAGTTTTAGTTTTTATGTACTTAAAAAGGAGCAGTTTTATGACACTAATAAAATGACTCCTAGGATTCTTAAGAAATATTTTGACAAATAAATTAAAAATAAAATGCAGAACGAAAAATATTTTGTATGTAGAGAGGTCAAAAGCCCATTGGGCTTTGATTCGAGTATTGAGTACTCGAAAATGACCAAAAATTATCGAGTATCAAGCTCGAGCCTAAGCTCATTCCAAACTTTAGTCAAGAAGCAAAATGATCCTCCTAAACAGCATGCACACCTTTTGCTCTGGACTGCACAGCAAAGTTTGTTTAACCTTTTGAGGCCGGGGCTTTGGTAGCAGTATAAGCTACCAAAGGACGGGGAATCTTGAACCGAATGCTTTCCCTCCTTTAAAAAATCCCCTCCTATTTGCAACAAAGATTCTTGTGTGTAGTATAATGGATTCTCAGAGAGGTGCATCTATGTTGCAAAAGGAAGACCTTTGAAAGAGATAAGTGGTTAAATCCCCAGGGATGTCAAATTTGACATTTCAACCCACTTTTTAGCCTGGAAAATGGGGGAAAAAGACATGGCCACTTAGAGTAGACAACCCCGTCTTTTCAAAGAGAGAAATCTATGGCCACTATAATGGTCATCCCGTCTTCAAAAGGTTAATGTCTCACAATACGTCATAGAATTTATTGTGTCACCATGAGGTAAAATAAATCTACAATATCCTTTTTCTATCCCAAAACACAGTATATGATTTTCTAGACTAGAACTATTTGCTTGAACTTAATGTTTTTGGGTGATGATGAATGCCACCATTCCATGGATTGCCCCCTTTGTTCATAATTATCAATATTTGTAAAGCCATCTCTAAAAGCTCTAACCCATTTCCATACCATTCCATCACTCATAATATTTTCTCTGCACATTTCACTAATCTGACAATGAATTTCAGATGCTTTCATGTCTTTAGCACTAAGATAATGAATCACCAATCATATTTCATGGCTGGCAGTATTCTCAACAGTTGGAGGCATTTTAAATGCTAAATAAAAAATAAAAAAAAAAGTCGAAAATTTCCATAATGGTGCCTGCGGCTTGCCAACAGATGTAGATAAAGAGTGCGCGCATGTAAATTGCAGTGCTAAGATACCAGAATTTCAAGATTGTACTTATTTTAAAACATACTACCATATATACGAAAATCCTAACAGTATGTTAGTTATTGACAGGAAATCAGAAGTGACTTAGTTTTTATAAAAAAACATTTAGGCTATTATTTCTACTGCATATCTAAAATATAAAAATGTATAATATTTCATTTTTATATGAATCTAATGCAGCATGACAAGAATTTAAGGCAATTAACTCAGCAAATGCAGTATCACGACTAAGTGCATTAATCATCACACTATAGATTTTCTCAATGCATTAATTTTAATGAAGATTGGCATGCAATTTGACTTCGGAGAAGTCATTGGATTAAATTCTAAGAAATGACGGAAAAAATAACTGTCTCTCTATTTTTTTATGTAAAATTACAGGAGAAAATTGGTATTTAAAATCTGCTGTTTAAGATGGCTGATAATAAAGAAAATTATGTTGTAGCACAAATTTTATATTACAGCACTACAAAACTACCGAATTTTAACAGCTTTTGTTTCAGATTGAAATTGCTTATGGCATACATGAATGCACAGTATCCCATTTGAAAGGCAAAGCGAATGGAAGGTTTTACTGAGGATATATATGAGCGAAACCTTTATAATACATCTAAACAAAATTTTTGCATCAATCTGTATATAGTAATAAAATAATAGTACATAATAATATTCTTAGTTAATACAATGATTAAACTTAAGTACAACACAGCCTTTCAGATTTATCTTGAGATTCTATGTATTTTGCTTAAAAATATTTTAATTTTCTACACAGAAATTATGCATATGCTTACCAACTTGTTCTTGCCGAATATTCACAATAGGAATTTCATCTATCTTTTCTTTAGGTAACGGAGGCGGTCCTGTGCCATCTAATTGATTAATTAACTGAAATTATGATGTTAACATTACAATTCTGATTTGATTTTCTTTATGTTTGCACAAAGTTAATAAGAAATAATCTATAATACTATGACATTATAAATATATGTGATAAGCTATAACATTTTAAGCCATACTTTTGAGGCCACACATAAAAAACTTTTTATAAAACAGGAAAAAAATTCTAAAGGACATAAAATTTATGGCATGCATACACACACAAAATTTATAGTTAGAAAATATCCTTACGTAGACACCTTAAAAAGAGATTCCTACACAAAATCATACATTAGCCCAAAAGCAAATTTTAAAAATTTTAAAATTTCATGTGCAGAAAAAAATTAGCAAAATGCATCACCTGCAAGAAAGACTACAATGGAGACATCAGTTGTAAGGAGAAAGTAGATATAGTAGTAGACTTCTATGTTAGAAGATAATGCCAATTTGTTTGAAGATTGGCACTATCTTCCAACATAGAAGTTATGGAAGTGCACAATTATTCCTAAAATAACTCAGTTCCACTTGCAAAATAAAAGACAAACTTATTGTGCTAAATGGCAGCAATAACATGAACAGAAAGAGAATAAAAATGTAATAAAGTAATAAAAGAAGCTATTACAACAAATAATGGAATCAAGGAAAAATACATTTCTTGAAGAAAGCCCTTCAATTCTCACAACTTACGGATGTTCGGTTCAATATTTATATCTGCCTGGACAAGATCTATTACAAAGAACGGGGTATCTGTTAAAAAATTGCCACAGACAAGGTACTTGATTTTTATACATAGAAAATACATTCAAATGCTATGAAACTAAAAATACTTGCAGTACAAGGTGGAATAGCCTGAGAGATTGCTTTGAAATATTCACTAAGAAATTGTCCATATTGTATTATTTGAAAATCAAGATGATAGAGGTAATTAAACAAGGTAATGCTTGAGATGATAAATAATTTCTTTATTATTAAAAAAATAAAGCACTTGTTGTAGCTGCTCAAACTTATTGCTGTTGCAGTGGATAAAATCCAAAAAGATAACTTTTTCCCCGAATTGAACTGTAATGATCATTTACGATAATCTTGTGAAATCATATCAGAAATGGGTTAGAAGCAGTTTTAATTCAATATCATAAATCAGTTTAAATGTACATGGAATCTACGTAATCAGGTGAGTAGCAAGAATGATATGTCATAAACATAAACCTACATTTTATGCCTTAAATCAGTTAAAAAAAAAAAAAAACCTTTTTCCCTTATATATATTTCTTTAATGGAATCTTACAAAATATTTCAGCTTTTACATGATGATCTGGTTTAAAGAAATACTTAAAATAAAGATTTTGTAATTTTTTTGCAAATGCTTACTGTCTGCAAATACTACTCAAGGGAAAATATTCCAATTTCTCATTTATTTGCAAGAAATAAAATTCTTTCGCTATATCTAAAATCGCCATCTCTATAAATTACTTAATGGAAAATGTCAAGCTAAACTCTCATGATAGTGTACAATTTTTAGATATTGTTAAGTAACTGTAAACAAATACTGTAAACACTGCAACTGAATTGGTTTCATTTCCAAATATATTTCTCTCTACTACTTAAAAGTACTTTCTCCAATTTTCAGTAATTTTAAGAGTTTTGCTAGCTGCTGCTACTTGTTTCTGCCACACTGATTTTAAGCACTTAAGCCAAGCCCTTGCTGTAATACTAGTATAAAATACCAAAAATTAAATATGTAAAAGTTGTTTCTGAGCTTTATTTTCCCTTTTTATGATTTCATACTAAAGAATTCTATTTTGACGATGGCCTTAAACAATACAGAATGCAATAAGTCAAAATTAAAATATTTAATTATCTAGTCATCTACCTAAAATGGGCAAGATTTAATACATAACATTTTATGTGCGTTACAAAATGTTATTTTTTTTTTATACTGATTAATATACGTTTTAGATGTGCGTAATTCTTTTGGTGTCATAAGTGTATTGCTATTTATGAATGTTTTGTTTTGTTTTTTGAGAATAGAAATAATTAACCGAAAAGGATTTTATCAATGTTATTTAAACTGTGCTATTTCTAAACCCTGTAAAATGCTTTATTTTAAGGATGAGAGTGTTTTTTATATACTTTTGATACAACTAACTTTAGTATACTGCTATTCTATGATAAAATTACTAAAAATCTTTTCTGGGTAAGGTGACTTTCTAGTTAGTGCCATAATAAATGTTTTTCATCAAAGACTTTATTTTAAGTGAAACACGTCACCATGTCGTTTTTTGCTAAAAGACGGAAATAAGATATGTGTGTTCTAGCAAACGAACTTGGTGTGAATATTATGGAACAAATGACAATAGTTGATATAAAGGATGCCATTTTAAAGAGTAAGGGATATAATGAAGAGTTCACTACAGATCTATTTTTTAGCATTATTCTGGAATGAAAAGAAATAGAGGAATGTGAATTTAACGAAAGAAAACAGCGTAAGGAACGCGAATATAACGAAAGGAAAGAGATAGAAGAATGCAAGCACGAGCTTGAGAAATTGAAAATACAAGTAGCTAGTTCAGGTGCTAGTCATGATTCCATACCTGCTTTGAAACTCACTGACATGGATATCCCTAAGTTACAATTACAAACTTTAATTCCTCACTTTAATCCAAAAAGTGATGACATGAGCCTTTTTCCACTTTATTTGAAAGGCAACTAACAATTTTGAACATACCTCAAGGGAAATGGGTAATGTATTTCTTAGGCTTGTTACCTAATGACATTGCAAAGGAATCTGCTGGTGATGCACATGATTATGACAACATTAAACAAATTCTCTTAAAGCATTTTAAATTAAGTGCTGAAAAGTTTTGACAGTTATTTTCACAACATCGCAAAAGTCCTGATAAAACATGGCGAGATTTTTACTTCAATTTGAGAAATTTCTTTGATGGCTGGATTGGCGAATTAAAAGTCAGTACTTTTGAGAAGTTAAAGGATTTGATGATATCAGACCAAATTAAAAGACGGTCCCCTTCTGAGTATAGAGAACATTTTGTGGATCATTGGTCCGAGTGGACTGATCCGCTTCAAATGGCTGATAAATTAGATTTATACGAAGAAGCTAAAAACATCAGGAGTAGAAACGTCAGTAATAACACTCCAAATCTGTCTCAACGTAGTGGTCCTAAAAATTATAAAAATAACCCTCAATTTGTTAAAAACTCAGCGACAACGAAGTCCGGCATGAGAGGAGATCGACCAACTGTTAGTTGTTATGGTTGCGGAAAATCAGGCGTCGTTAATGCTAAGTGTCCAACCTGCTCTCCTTTAAGTAAAGAATCAACCGACTTCAAAGAAATAAACTTACATACAGTGTCTGTAGAGACACCTCACACGACTCTTTTAAGAGTAAAAATCAACATATTTACGGGAATTGTCTGTGCTGATACTGGCGCTACTCACACTATAGCGGGAGAAACATTATATAATCTCTTGAAAGAACATGGATAAGAATTTAAGAAAACTTCTATGAAGGTCACTCTTGTGGTCTTTATTCAAAGGAACGAAGAGGTTCACATGACCCAGGTAGACATTTACATTGAAGGAAGATCATTCTGCACAACTTTATTTGCACTTCCCTCAGCAAAGGGTAACAGGACGCTTTTAGGATTGGATTTTCTTAGAAGCGCTGTAATTGTTTTAGATCTACAAAATCATTGGTGGTTTTACCATGATAATCCGCAACAAAAGTTTATAAGTTTATTGATGATGATTCTAAACCCAATCTTTGAACCGAATATACGTCGGAAGTTGACAGTGTACTGTTAAGAGAATATGAAGGACAACAGCTGTCGGCTCATCAAAGATCACAATTAAATGAACTATCGAGTCAATATTCAACTATCTTCCAACCAGGGGGAGAAGCAACACCTTTCATAGAACATTGAATTAAAACTGGAAACCATCCCCCAATAGCTGTACCACCCTGCTAAGAAAGAAATCTTAAAGCAATAAATTGACAAGCTCTTATCCAGAGGAATAATTGAAAAATGCGAATTCCCTTATGCATCCCCAGTTGTTTTAATACTGAAACCTAATGGAACAGAATGCCTCTGCATAGATTACCGGAAATTGAACGTGATTACAGTTCCGGATTCCTAACCACTTCCGAGAATGGACGACCTGTTACATGAGGCAAAACCTACTCTTTTCATGTCGACCCTTGATCTTCGTGCAGGTTATCACCAAGTGAAGGTTCATACTGATGATCAAGACAAGACAGCATTTGTATGTCCCTTCGGAACACATTGTTTCTTACGAATGCCCTTTGGTCTTCAGAATGCCTCAGCAACATTCCAGAGATTGATAGACCATTTTCGCAATGGACTTGAGGACATCCTAACCCTCACCTATCTGGACACCATAATCGTATTGTCAGAATCATTCGAGAAACACCTTTCCAATCTCAAATCTTTTTTCGAATGGCTTTTGCTCTTCAAACTGCGCACAAACAGAGAGAAGTGCCCCTTCGCTTCTTCTCGTGTGAAATATTTGGGATTTTGGATCACACAAAAAGGCATCGAAGTTGATCCAGAAAAAGTTTCCTCTATCCAGAGAATTCCACCTCCCAAAAACATCAAGGAACTCCAATCCTTCCTTCAAACATGTTCTTGGTTTAGATGATATATACAAAATTTCGTGGAAATATCACGACCTTTTAGTGATTTGACGAAGAAGAAATTCCAATGGGAATGGGGTTTCAACCAGCAAAAAGCATTTGAAATTCTAAAAAACTGCCTCATAACAGCTCCTGTGTTAAAGCAAGCAAATGGAACTCAACTGTACATTCTTTGAACAGATGCAAGCAACTATGCTCTTGGAGCCGTTTTACTTCAAGGGCAAGGGTCTAAAGAGCAAACTATTGAATATGCCAGCCGACTGCTTTCTCCGGCTGAGGGAAACTGTTCGATGACTGAACGAGAAATCCTCACTCTAGTCTGCGGCCTGAAGAAATT